CCCCCCCCCCCCCCCCCTTTTGGTCCCTTGGTTTTGAGTGGGTTGTTTTCCACTCTTCCCCCCCCTCGCTTTTCTTTTTCCCCTCATTTCTTTTTTATTCTCCTCTTTCTTTGTTGTTGTGTTTTGTGTTTGTTTGGCTTTGGGTTGGTTGTTGGTTTTGTTGTTTTTTTTTTTTTTTCCCAACTGGAGGGGAAGTAAGGGCAAGAACCCTCTGTGGGACAGGCTGGCGTTTGGCAGTGGCAGCACAGGCTGCTCTCTACTAGTTGGACATGTTGCAGGTGTAACTGAAGTATGGTGACGTTCATGTCCCTCTAAATAGCTGCTGCTGATGTTGCAGATCTGGTGCTGAGCCAGTTGAAATGCATGAACCATAATCAAGACGGAGAAGACAACGTTATGATGATGACAGAGACAAATATATATCTCTGCACTGTTAACGTTACGTTCAGATTCATCTATGTTACATCTGCCTGGGCCAAATCGCTTGCTGATGATCTGTTGTGATAGGAACATTAGATAGAGAGGCCTACAGAGGTCATAGTAAGTTTATACATCATGAAATAGATACACATTTTTCTGACATTTCCATCAGTTTTTCATAATCTAATTTTATTTCCAACGTTCTACTTAATAATTAAATAAAGGACTTGTATTCCTTATGTTGCAAAGATACCTTTCCAGCTATGAACTGATAGAGATTTGCTTCCACTTCTTGATATTAAGACACATAAGAGTTGCCTGCTCGTGAAGATCTAAACTGGGCACGTATATCTATGTGTTTATAGAGCAGTAATCTCTGCTCTATAAATAGCCTGAGCCTCTAGTGACCAAAGAGGGCCAAAAAGCCAGGCTTCCCCTTAAGCAGAAATTTGGCTTTATCAGTATGATAAACCTAGAGTGATGGCCAGGGCTTAGGACAGCAAGTCCTGAGCACCCGTCCCAAAAATCCAAGCTATGAATGTAAAATCCGCAATTGGGAGGAAGCCTTGGGGGCATCTTAGTTCTGCTAGAGACAACTTTTGGGGTCTGAGAGCTCCTGTTCAAAGCCAGAATACTTCAGCCTTAGTTGGTCCAGCTATGCAGACCAGGGTGCCCTAGACCAGGTACCCTGAACATCCCTACTCCTCCAGTTTTTGATACGCCAGCGAGAGCACAGATGGGATTTCATTCAAATAATGCTTAACTTTACTGAAAGCTTATCTAATCCAAATTCCTTCAGACAAAACATTTAAAATGCAAAACCTGGTAGTTTTAATTAAAACAGAGTTTTGCTGGGAAATTTCTGACTTCAGTCCACTTATGAGTCTCTCTAAAATATGTGTGAAATGTCTGTAATTTAATCAGCATGCTGTTAGCTTATAAACCTAATGACAACTGGTTTAATGCCAACATTTTTGTTGGCACTGCAGTTCATTTTGTGATAATCTTTCAGCAACTCTGGGACTAAATTCAGAATTCTTGCTTTGGATATCAAGAACGGTAAGAAAGAATCAACACATTTTCTCTGGTTTCACAGAGAAACCTTGGTTTCTTGCCTCTTTTGAGCCAAAAGAAAACATTAATTAACAGCATTACATCTTCAGGGAGGTCTGGGTGAGATAGCCCTCTAATGTGTAATCAGCATTTTATGCAATGACACAGTATCCTCAAACAATTTCCGGCATAAGTTTGTTTGACCTTTAGTTTGAAACTACCCACAATGGGGACTGGTGTTTTTTTCACTCTTCATTAACTTACCCATTTCCATCCAAGTACTCAAGGCTTTCCTATTTTTTTGCATAAGTGTGGGATATGATTATATGACTACATGATATATTGATTTCATAGAAATGATAAATGAAGATATTATTTCCCAGCATGTGAAAAAATACAAAGCTAGCAATTTATTCACACCGAGAACATCAGTAAAACCACACTTCAAAAAGTTGTTTAACCTTTATTTTAATCTGCTTTTCTTTCCTCTTCACCCTCATTCCTTCTTAGGAAGATCACAGGCATGGTATGCATACTGTGGAAAGGATATTTGCCTTCAAATAGCCGTTATCCACCCTAGCTCACGGTACGTACAGACAAAGGACACCTTCCCAGCAAAATATTTTACAAACTGCTTTACAATTCGCCCTTCCCAAAGGTTATTTCTGTATTTTAATTAGCTCAAGGTTTTTTTCCCCCCATTGATTAGGCTGATTAGACAGTGAAATATAGTTAAGAAGAGGATAGCAAAAGAGACAAATACTGCTTTTATCGTGCCTGGGTGTTGCTGATGCTGTCAAAGCTCACTGTGGTAGATCAGCACCCTGAGACACAGCACATGAATAAAACGGGGAGGGCCAGAATGGGCTCAGTGATGGACAGAAAGTTCATCCCTCTGTGTTTTTCTAGCAGCTCATCACTGGCACGAGGAATACCCGATAAATAACCAATACACTGTGGATTGACGCAGCTCTCCATGCAGATATTAATAGCGGTAACTATGCTAATGTATGTAATGAACTAATTACCTGTGGTATAAACATGAAGTGCTGCATGAAGAGGGCTTTTAAATCCCAGATAACTTCAAGTTTTAATCAGCATGCTCAAAAAAGAACTGGGTTTTTTGATTGCGCAGCTTTGATTGTGTTCTCTGGAAATACTGTGCTAAAAGGTGGCTTTCCATAATTTAGTCAGGAAATAATTGTATTCTCTTAGAAATAACCATCATCTCTTGCAGAACTTGGCCTTTCTGCAAAAATAAATCCTTGCAGTGTAGGTATCCTGTGTGGTCAAAATGATGGCCAGAAAGAGAAGACTCTCTGTTCATTATCTAGATCTCTTCAGTCTGCTCAGTTCAAGAAGGAATTTTGCAAGAGCTCGCAATCACTACAACAGAAAATAGATGCACTGTAATGCTATTACATTAACAGAAAGCTTCAGAATAATTTATTTATGAGATGGGTTGTTGCTTTTACATACTCCTTATGTTTATCAATTTTTTTGGCATTTATTCTTCCCAGTTGGGCCGCTGAAAAGCAGCCAATTAAGGTGTTATTCAGGCATAAAACTTCCAACCCCATCCAGAAGCAGGGAAGTAGGAAGAAGAATGATCCAAGGGTTGTTCGGATTTTTTTTTTTTTTTTAGATGCTTCTAATAGATTTGGCTCAAGTAGGTAGCAAGGGGTCCAGGAGATGCCTACTTGCATGGTAACTAGAGCTCACTTGACCATGTCAAAGAGCCGGTTCCTTCCCACCAAGGTCACAGTGTCCCTCCGCAGTGACATCCTTCCCCAAGAGGAGCAAGGGCTTTGCGGCCAGGTCCCACTGTCCTGCGGAGAGCTGGCTGGCTGAGCTGGGCGTTCATGGCTGAATGCTGATGAACCTGCTGACATGCAGAGCAATGATCTTCTGCAGATATAAAAATTGCCTGACATGTTCCAGTAAACATGGGGCTGTCCCTCAACTAGGTCACAACTCAGCGGACAAAACATACTATAATTGGAGCTTTTCTCCTTACCATTGGGTGCCTGAGCAGAGAAAGATGTGTTTGTGAATCTGTAGGTCTTTACTCCTTGAAAAATAAGGAAAGCAGAAGCATAGGCTCCAGTTTTTCTGGCTTGTTTTGCAGTTGTGCTTGCACACAGATTGCCGATGATTTAGGCCTTCAGTACACAATTTGAATACCTTCCTACTATGGCTTTGTTCTGCAGATTTGGCCATAAAGACGCAATGATTTGGGCTTTAATGGCAGTCTTAAAACTTTTGGGTCTAACAAGCAAATATCATTTGGTGTGCCCAGCAAAGTTATTATCTCTTTATGTTTATGTCAATTAAATTATGTCTGAAGCAAGGTTTAAGTGCGGTGGCATTGCAGTTAAACATCATACCCGATTGTGTTTTGCATGGCTATTTCTATTTAAAAAAAAATAAAAAATCCATTTTTCTATAACAGATTACATTGTTTCTTTGAAGTGTGAATTTAAGCAGCTAGTGTTTATAATAATATGTACATCATTAATCTTCAGACTTTAATCTCTATAGTCCTATTTAACACAGGGAAGCTTCAAAGGGTACGGATGCCTTCTATTGTTTATTGAGATATGAGGTAAAATATAAATGAAAGATCTGGGGAATCAAAATTATATCCATAACATTTTTTTTTAATCCACATAATGTATTTAATGCTAGATGTGTCAGAAAGCTACCTGTATATTTGCCTGATGAGCAGTAATACGGACATACTGGACGGGGTAAACATATTAATTAGAGCCTGCACATCTCTCCTTCTTGCTAGTGTAATCATTAAATTGATTTTTCCAGTCTGACATGTAATTGTTCCAGCGATGGAATCCTGCTTTCCACTCTCGTTCTGCTTCATCAATATTTCCTGTAAAACATGAAATGGGTTACATTAATCTAAATTTGAATCTCTTTATATGCTAATTGAAAAATAATTTTGATTATCAATGTCAGTTGCTCCATATACGAGGATTGTCTTTCGTCTCTTTTCCTAAACCTGGAATGACTGAAAATTCAGTGATTAATACTTTATCTTTAAATCAGGAAGGAAGGATTGCAAAAATATTCTGGCACACTGCAGGCTAATAAATATACTTATATACTTATATAAATACTTATATAAATATATAAATATACTTAGCTTGTTGCTTCTGTCCATCAAATTCATCACTTTAACGTCACCTTTTTATTTATTTATTTTATTTTAAATCCTCAAAATATTACTTTGGTTCAGTATACTCTACAGTGAAACCTACGTATCCTAAAGACTATGCAAACTGAGGCAGGTGCTTGCAAAGGTACAGTGAAATCATAGCTTTGTTCCAGGCCACAACGGTACGGCCATCAGTTTCAATGGATTTCAATGGATGGCCAGGATTTTTGCCCTACTGTAGAATAAATCCACATGTTTAATGTGGAAGGGGAACAAGTCTGGAGAGGGATAGTGTAAAACGTGCACTATGTCAACATGAAACCATCTTCTCTTTTCTTTCTTATTCTAGCCTATAAAGCGTTTGCCGACTAATCCTCTGTCCCAAGGCAATATTTACTGCCAAATTTGTTACAGACATCAGAGAAGAGGATGAGGATAAGAAGAGTAATAAAAATATATCACTTTACAAGGTTCCCAGAGTATTTTACAGACAGGGATCACTTCCTTCATTCCCCAAAGGTAATTAATGCTAGGGAGAAATGCAGTGACCTTGCAGGAACAACCCCTACAACAATTAAAGGAAAGATGACGTATGTAGGCTCTACCACATGCTGTGGCTTATTGTTTTGGATCAGTCGCAGACTTTTTCTTAAAGTGTAGAAACCATTTATAATCTATGAATGCTTTTATTCATTCTGGACCTAATTATCTCAGTGTCCCATACTGACATAGCTTGCTTCCAGGAAAATTTGGTAATCTTGTTTGTGAGATAACAGTTCCATGGTTTCTTTATGCTCTTTTGACTTTATGTTCTTCTGCTGCAGTAGACCATAGGCCCTTTCCCTCCATAAATAAACCCTTTTCCCCTTTTTTATGATCTGCCAGCACCGCAAGTTTAACTGGTTATGTGAAAATGAAATACTTTTGTGTTTTACACATCAGTAGAGAAAATACCCTGGAAGGAGAGTTAACAGATTCAGAGATTTAGTTTGGAGGAGCATCCAGTAATTTGGTTGCTTATCTGCAGTTTAATTCAACATTTCCAAACCTGTTTAGTCTGGAAATCCAGATGGCAATTTAATGAGACTTTGAAATGAGATTTACATTACTTCTTGGTTTCAGTGAGACCAGAAATAAAACCAAGATACTTTTTTTTTTTTTTCTGGGGAGGGTCTGGACTTCCGTTTGTAGTCAAAAGGGAAAATATGAAGAACAAATATAGAAAAAAAAATTTAAAAATTAACCACACTCCTCTCACCCAGTTCAGAGATGTAAATAAGCTTGGTTATATCAAAGATTGCAGAAAAGTTCAGAACATTTTAAATTTTTTTTTTTGCAGGCCACAATGGCCAATAACTCAAAGAGGATTTGTAAATGCTGGTAACAATAAAATCACGTTTTGATAACTAAGCTAGGCAGGTATGGCTTTGAGAACTATGGGGAGAAGACATGCACAGCATTTTACTTTCCTGATTCCAAGAACTCGCCTTTGTATGTTTCTTAATTTAAAGATACAGCCAAGGTCTTGGGTAAAGCCAAAGTTTCCACATACATCAAATGGATTGGTAATTTAGAGTATCAGGCAGTACTGGTTTTACTTGGAGAAAAATGCTTCAGCTGTGTTTCTTGTCTTATTCTTGATTATGGGTATCTGGTTTTATTTATCCAGGCAAAGCTTCCACTTATGAATTTAAAAAACTCCTGTTCCTTCTTTAATTATTCAGGTTTAAATGTGTTTGAAGTCTGCCCAAATACTTCAGAAACAGGAATAGCTCTACCATACACACATCTTCAATTAAAAGTCACTGTTTTGGAGTATAAATTATGAGGCATTTCAGTGCTTCTGAAAGATCGTGGTGAAGGAGTGAGTCAGCTAGAGAAAGTAGACAACAAGGAATTCAGAGTAGCCACCATTATGAATCTAAAAGACAAAATGGGGGGAAGGAAAACACTGAAATAAGAACTTGGATTCCCATTTGTTTGCTTTTTTCAGTGATAAGATCCAAATTGAAGTCACAAGTCAATGCATCCCATTATCACCAACATCATCAATCTCTTTGAAGAAAAAAAAAAAAAAAAAAAAAAAAAAAAAGATTAGAGATTTCTACTTGACCGATAATTACAGCTCAGAGCACTGGGTTACTACGATGCACTGCAATAGTATGGAAGTCAGCTAATGATACGGTGAGGTTATTTTGCTATATGTAGTCATTTAGGCAATCCCAAACTTTATAGTAATCCCCATTAGCCTCATGCAAAGCCCGGTAAAATTTACAAGGGGAAAAGGGGATATTTCGGTAGGCAATGAATCATACCTTAGCGCTCAGAAAGGTCCCAGTTTAACAGACCAAAAAAAATGAAAGTGCTTTTTTTATTCTTCAGCGGTGTCAGTGCAGACAGCTGGCATTTCTTTTCTTTCCACACAGGCATACAGCCCTGCTGTAATGCCATTAAAGTAAAAGTTAAATTTATCTCCATCCCATCACTTGCTGAACAGCTAGATGTGCCAATAAAGTGCTAATCTTAAATGTATTTTTGCGGTATTAAGATTGGGAAAAAGGCCACATAGCTGTTATGATATAGTTTAATTAATAAGGGCTGACAAGTTGGAATTAATTTTTCTGTCCTCAACAGCTCATAAATATGGGTACCTGCAAACTTCTTGATTCGTTAGTATGATAAATGCTACGAGTTTATCTGTGCTGTAGATTCTCACGGTGATAGTTTCTGCACAAATGTTCAGAAAGGAGAAAACAAATAGTGTGTGTACATCAGTATCTCAATTCAGTGTTCTTTAGTCACACGCTCTGAATATCAATGCTTTTTTAACTACAACAATATATTTGTTTTCGTACGTATTTTTAAGGACTTCAGATTATTTTTTAATTTTAAAAATTTTCTTCTTTCACAAGTCAATAGAGCTCTCTGGGAGATGAAGCACTCTAAGGACTGATATTTCTCCTGTGACCTGGGATGCAAGCTACTGGAGTTTGAACAAAATCAAATGAAGGTACAGAGCTTACTGCCCATAGGTGGACTGGCTACAGCCTAACTTTGTCAGTGTGTTAATTCTGACGAGTTCGCTTTTCTGCATGCATAATGAGTGCAGTATCTAGCTAACTGAAAACTAATTTTGATGTTGGATTTTCTAATTAGTCGCATTTTTAATATTTTTACTACCCCGAGTATTTAGCTCTATAGAATCCAGACACTACTTGGAGGGTCATAGCAAATAAAATTATTTTGCTTATTCACTGATCAAGAGGTTGAACTTTTCTCTGTCTCCTCCTTCAGAATCTTTTTAGGGTTGTTTTAAAATGTAATATATTTGCATTACCTGCTTCGATGTTTGGTCTCTCTATAGATGATATATAAGCAGTAATATAAAATAAATAGAAAAATATGTATTGGGCACACTAAACCAGTAATGGAACACAAATGGAAAGCTTGGCTGCCTGTAGCTTTCCATAATCAAGAGGAAACGGGCACATATAAATAGTTAGGGCTTTAGATGCATTAAAGATTATGTTAAGGAGGTAGAGTCTAACATAGATGCTTTTATAATTATCATATGATTGCTCTAAAAGCTACTTAAGAGTCACTTACTGTTTACTGTCCCTCCGGTGTGTTTCTTTTAGAAACAGTCATCAGAAAAAGTTCCCAGTGCTCACGCCCTCAGATGAAATATTAAAAGCTGAAGGCTCCCAGCTTGTCTTAGGGTGACTGGGAAGGGAGGGAGGGTATTCTCAGTGCTTTCACAAGTGGGTTGAAACCTGCGTAGAAGTTGTGTCTAGTTGGAATTGAGAGCCCACGTAAAGCACGTCTTTGGTCCAGTTTACTGGCTAGAGATTATTATTAAGCTAGACACAAAGCTACAAGTTTTGACTTCTGTCTTCAGTTATAGTTTTATATATTGAAATTGGAGGGGAAGACATTGAGAAATCTTCCAAAAATCATACAAAACACTTGAGATATTAAATCCATTTTTTTTATATGTCTATTACTGTTACGTTAGTGTGTGAGGCTTTATTTTTTTCTTATTAGTTTTTCTCAATCCATAACCATGTTTTTGTTTTTTTTTTTTTTCTTTTTTTAATATTACATCAGATTTGGTTGCTTGAAGAAAATGGAAAATACCTGACTTTAAGCATGGCAGGGAATAATATTTTTCCTCTCTCATATATTTAATTGCCTCAAGGAACCTGTCTTACCCAGCCTGGCATGGAAACAGGCTTGCTCAGATGCTGAACACCTTTGGAGTTGGCCATTACGTGGCGAGAAGGGCTCAGCAGGGGTAGCAAGCCTTGTGCTAGGAGTGGAGCAGTAGCTAAACAACTGCTTTGTTACCAAGTGCATCCATGTCAAATTCCAACCACTTGGCACAACAAGAAATCCACCTGCAATTTCTGAAAAATAAGTTGGTTGGATTGTCCTCTTAAGGTTCTACCCAATTCCACTTTGTCTAGCTGAACGCTACTTGAACCATAACTTGCAATAATGATAACATATAAAAATTCCTATTTCTTGTTCTCTGTCATCTTATATCATGTCAAAGCAACCTTTCAAATATTGAAATATTTCAATGGAAGAAATTATAGAAAAGATAGATGCTCAGAAAATGAGGAAATAAGTGTATTTATGTCATGCACTATCCTTTGGGCATAAGAGGAGATAGAAATGCAAAATAACATTTCAGTGAAGAAAATTATTACAATATAAAGTATTATTTCATGTTTGTAAGCAGAATCTTAAAGATATGTTTATCAGAACTGTATAAGATTGTATAGGGAAAATAAATATAATAACGTAGTATTTCTGTTGCAATATTTCAAGGAGTGATATATGTAGGTACATGGCAAAACAGCACTACTTCCTGACAATATTAGAATCCAGGCATGATGATTCTTTCCTTTTATTGCTAAAGAATATGCTCAGGATTTTTTAAAATCAAATTACCTAAATTTATGCTGTAAATTACTGAATATGGCAAAGTGATGTAGTTATGTCTCCTGGCAGATCCAGAGTGTTGCTTTGTCATTCTTCATACCACAGGACCAATGCAAAGCAACTCTGTTGTCCTGCCGAGATGTGCTGGGCTATGTCTGGTGATGTGCTCTCTTCTGCTCTGGCACAGAGCGTTCGGTTGTGCACACTCCATTTGTAAGACACACGCTACTCAACAGGGGTTCACAGACAGGTTAAAGAAATATGTAAAATAGTTCAGTTCCCCTGGCTCAGCATAAAGGGCTTGACAGAATTTTTGAAACCTCCCTCAAACCCATCCATAATTTGGTATCCTGTGATTTTAAAATCGCAGCGCATGCTTTATAAATTATTCATTTACCTACTGATTTTGCTTCTCTTGATTTAATTGAAAAACATCTATTGAATTGAGAGGGCATAAAAGTAGAGCCATAATACAGTTATAGGCTCAAATGAGGAAGGAATAAATTATTTCAGAAAGAATCATCTGTGCACCATGAAAGTTTACAAATTTTTAAGACTAACATTCAAACTGAATCTTACAGAAAGCTTGTAAATTGCTAAGTAACATTTAAAAAGTGTGTCTTATTTTTGAAATGAGACTTTCCTCCCCACCCCAGACAAACTGCAGAATACTATTCCAGAGCTGCAACATAACTTTATAAAACCAATTCCTTTCAAAGTCCAGAAGCACAGAGGCTTGGTGGGCTTCGCAAAAACAGTGACATAAGGCTTCTACAGAAAATCCAGGTCCTTTTTTGTTCAACGTTTTTGTTAAAATTTCAAATAGCCCGTTGTACTTTTCTAGGTAGTGAAATCTCATGAATTTATCATATACACAGTCAGGCACAAATCGGTCCTATTTTGCATAGGCAAATCCTGGAGTCTTTGGTTTGTTGTCAATAGCTAACGCTCTACAAAGAAAAAAACACAAGATGCTCTTATGTGAGATGTAGAACAGATGCTGCCCCGCTTGGCAGCAGCAACACACTTAATATCCTCTCTGGACTACTTGCATGATCATATAATCCCGTAAATAATTGATAATATAATCCCAATATAACATCCCACAATGTACCTGTGATCCATGAAGTTTATATGGAACATCTAAAGGCTCCAGAGATCCCAGTGCAAGCTCCCCCCTTCAGCAACATCTCTCCTGCTCTCTCCAGCACCCCAGGATCCCAGAGCCAAGACCTTCGCAGCGGGGTAGTTTGACAACAGAGGTTTCCAGCACTCTAAAATGTCTCACATTGTGGCTGCATCTGCACTTTGGGGCCTGAGAAGCTCCACACCACGTAAGTCCTGGGCCTTGGCCTGTCCCCAGGTTTTTTCCTAGGATGTAACAGGGTGCCACAGGGTGGTGAGCCCATGGCCAGAAGCACAGGGCACGTTCCACACCCTCACCGCAGCGTGGACACTTCTGTCCAATCTGAACGTCTCATGGAAATTCAGTTAAAATGAGGAATCTAAAGGTTTAAACTCAAGTATCATGTTAATATCAAGAGAATGGTTCTTGTATGAGAGTTATAGAAAAGCATCTAAAAAATAATTTTTACCTGTCATTTCCAGGACTTTGGGAAAAAAAATATTCCAGAATCGACACTGCTGAGCACGCAACTTTGTCAGTATCTCTGAAGTGTCGGTATTTAATGTCAAATATTTTTGTTCAGCACTAGTGAAGACTGGCCATCTTGTTCCATTGGTCAGGGTCCCGTTTGGAGTTCTAAATGAGAAAAGAAGCATTTCATCTGGAATGAGAAATTACCTCAGCGCATCAATAAAACATTATTTGTTTTTTTTATTTAATGGTTATTTCAGCTTAAGTATGGTTAGTTTGGAATTACTGAAATATAATTTGGTAAGTAACAGGATAAAAGGAAGGTAAATTTGATTTAACTTCATTTAAAGAAAAAAAAATAATTTGTATTCCCCTTTTAGGGTGTTCTGGGTTCACTTAAGGGGAAAAAAGTTAATAAACAGCCATACACAAACTACACTTGTTGAATTGAGATTCTCACAGAAGCTGTGATTATGGATGACTTAAGAACAAACCAACCAATCAGTCTGGGAGGTTGAGTTGTTTCTGTTTTTGTTTGAATGTTGATCCAGATAGACAAATAGATTGGACTAAATAGCTCAGATAAAAATGCAGGTAAAGGTACAAATAATGTCTAAACTTTGGGTGAGAGCTGGATTGGGAGACAAAAGGACAATATGTAGTATCTATATGACTAGAGGAAATAAAAAATGGTTTATGTGAGTAGAAGAACAAGATGGGGAGCATTGCATTAGGGAACAAATGTGACAAGATTTTCAGAAAAATAAGTACATTTATACTTGAAACAATCATAAATCACCATTAGCTGAGAAGAGGTTAAGAATACAAATGAAACATCTTATTGCATTGCAAGCAGAAGGACTCATTTTCCTTTCTGGAAGCTGATGTCAGGGAATCTGGGGTTTAGGGCTGAACAACAGTATTTGATGATTCTTGGTGGGATAAATTAAGATCGCTGTTAGTTAAGTTAATTTGGTTATCTCTACTTTACTTTTCACCAGGACTCTTCCCAGAAGACAGTGGTCAGAGAGGAGTCCAGGGCGTGTGGAGCCCACTTGAGTTCTGCTTGCCAAGAGTAGGAACAAGGTACCGGGTGTAGGTGGGAGCAGTCGGTGCACAACATTCAGCTGCTGAAATAATATCAGTATCTCTTAGTTGATTTGAAACCAATCAAGTGTTCGGCCCATGTTTTAGTATTCTGGAGTCTGTGGCATTGACTGCTCGCAGAATGATGCTAGAGGAAGAGATTCAGCATATTTCCTGAATCGCTCACTTTACTAATTTTTCTTTACAAATTCAGCTCTGATTAACCTATGGCACCCTTTTTAACTGCACATTTATTTGTGGCTCATAAGAACGATAGCTTAAGCAGAGCTTGCGCTTCAGTTCAAGAGCAGAACGCTAACGGTGCTGTGAGTATTCATTTAAAAGCTTTTATGCTATGAAATAAATCATGACATTCCACATTATAATTTACAGGTGTGGGGGGATTACACAATGGCTACAGATGTATTTTACTAAAAATGATTGAAAGATCTGTCAGATGAAAACAGCATTTTGAAATACATGAACCTGCTGATTATGACATTCTCTCTGCATTTCAAGGAATTTTCCTGTTCAAAGAAATGTCCAGTAATTTCCTTTTTAGCTCCATTATTGAAGATTTCCCATGTTAAAAAGTAGCTCCCAGTTACAGCAAAGCGGAGATCACAGGAGTATAATTTTTAACTGGTAAGAACGAGTTATGATTATAACCTCATTGTTCTATCATAATTGCTGTTCATTCCGTCTTGCTAATAACTTCATGATGAGAATTGCAGTGCCCACAATAAGCTGTAAAATTCCCCGTTCTTTGCACCAAACTCAAAGTTTAATAATATTCATATTATTATAAAATAAAAAGTATTGTGAGAATATCTTTACTCAACAGAAGGGAATCCAGTACACTGCACAACCCTGTCTCTGCCCATCGATGTCTGGATGGACAATCTTTGCTGATAGATTATAGGAACTTGCTGCTACTGAAACAAAGCTGAAAATTTCCATAGAATCCTCCGTCCTATCATCTTTAGGAATTCCTCAAAACTTTGCCCTTTCATCTTCGGGTACCAGTCAATCATCTCTTCTTCAGTATGTTCCAGTTTTGAGCACCTCAGTGCTGTCAGTGAGGTCTCAAGGTGTGTCCTCAAAGGGCTTGGGCCACACACATCTTCAGGGCAGACCTCTATCTTGTGCGTCTACTTTGTCAAACACCTCTGCCCATATCTATAAGCTCCCGTCAGGGAAGATCTTCATTTTGCAAAATGTGAGGTTCTTTGCCGAATATTTCAGAAAGAAGCTAACTTTTTTCTACACGTTTTTAAAATGTTTGCAGGAGCAAGTCTTATGGCAATTAAGAAATAAAATTATTTGAATTGCTTCCAGAGAATAAATGCAAGAGAGGAAAAAAAACCCCACCAAACAAACAACTCCCCAATCTTGTGTTTAAACTTTGGTGTAAACAGAATTTGTTTCATTATTTCAGTTATATTTTTTCTTTGCCTATGCCCTGAAGTTGTAAGCTGGACTCTTTCTACTCTGTGATAGTGGTACAGCAGCTCATGTATAGTTAATTATTTTAAGATATGTCTTTAAGGCAGTAAAACTTCTTTTCTCATTAACTCAGAAACCAGAGTGCCTTCGAGGACTCAATCTCCAGTAAAGCTTCTTCCATGTTCTCCCTTTACACATACATGTGATCTCCTTGAAGTCCATGAGCCTTATTTAACCTTGTGCTCAGTGGAAGTTGCTTGGTGTTATTCATTGTTACTAAGATCAGGTTCTTCCCCCACTGGGTATTGTATGTCTAGAACTGTCAAAATGTTTAATTCTCAAGACTCATTTACAGCAAGCATACTAGATTTAACATAGGAGTGAAGAGGGGTTTAGCGGAGTTTATTCACTGATCATTTCCGTATATTTAATGTTCATCTTCAACAACTTTAGAAAGTTAATTTGATTCAGATGGAAAATACAGCAACATGAACAGAGTTCTGTTAATCATAATAAACACACAGACATTACTGTTCTCATTAATATGATCAATATAGCCTGAAATGCAACACTAGTTCACTGCATATTTATTAATATTCACATAACATTACTTCTACATATAGTCCATCACACACACAAAAATGTAATACATCACCTAACGTTGTTTTTTTTTGGTTTTGTTTTTGTTTTTGTTTGGTGAGCATTCATGATATAAGGTACCCATACAATATTCACTTTATTTTTCCGAGTGAGCTCTGAATAGTGTTTTCACTCTGCTGTGGTATCACATTTAACAGAGAGGTTCTTTTGTTCTGTTAAGTTACATTTTGATATAGTCCACAATGAAAAATTTTCTCTGATAAGTCTCCTGAAAACAGTTTTAGGCATCATTTACCTTCCTAATGAGTGTTGTAAACACTAACTGTACCACCTGCCAGCTTAGAATGTCCCAAGCTTTCCCCGAATTCCTATTTAGATGCTCTATTTGTAAATGGATCAGGTTAACGTGTTGGGTGTTTCTCTAGAGGAAAAGAAAAACAAAACCCACATCATTTTAGCTGTCTAACGCAGATGAATTATACCAACCCAAACTCACTACGAGATTCACAGGCTGAAACACAATTTTACCTCCAGTCCCCAGTAGCCCCTTCCTCCAGACAGAAAAATATTTGTTCTGCCTGGCTGAAGCTGTTCACAGAGATATTGCTCCCCGAGAGGAAGCATAACGCTAATTTCACCTGAGCAGTGTGTTATTGCTCTTAATTGTCTCTTCAGTTGCAGCTGGCTTTCCTCTGACCCGCGCTGAGAGCTCCTTTGCCTACAGCTCACCCCGGAGAGGGTTTCCCCTTCCTCCCGAGCATGCGGGGCCACGGGCCAGCGGCCCCTCGGTGCTCAGCCTCCCCCAGTCCCCACAGAAGCAGCAACCCCGCCGCTCGCAGGCACTTCGGAAGGCAATTCCTTCCTCTTGTGCCTTCTGCAGGGTATCGCCAGGCTGGCATTCTGCTGCCGTGTGTCTCGTTAGCCCAACGGGTCGCCCACTGAGATTAATGAAAAGTTATGATAATGCCGCTGCACCCTCCGCTTCCCCCGTGCTGGAAGGGTTGAAATCCAAGGGAGACCTGCTCCTCCTTGGTGTGACTTTATTGACTTCACTCCGGGTGTAACCGCTAATGCTCATTTTCAATTTGGCCCCCTTTTCTTTCGAAACAGCTGGTTCAAAGGGAGGAGAGAGTGAATGTGAATCATTTTTATTAGCTTTTATGGTTCCTTGTAGCTGTCAGGCCGCACTGGCAATCAGCTGTTTTTCATGGGATGGCGTTTTACCATGTGTTACCATGGGCACAAGATAACAGGGAGGGGAAACGGCCTTAGAGCAAATGCAGCAGCAACAATAACCCCGTCCTTGCAGATTTTCTACAATTGCATGACAAAGCCTTTAAGAATTATGGAAATAGTTAGTTTAGCATCAAATAAGGAGCGTACTGTAAATGTTTCACCCCCCTAGGGTAGCTCTGGGAATGAGGGATGGTTCAGCCCGTGCCTATACTGGAATCCAAAGGAGCCGGGGAACTCGCACAGCTCTACCGAGGTGGCTTCAGAGCAGCCACGTGAAGGCTGCTGCAGCTCAGCGTGGTTTCCAGGCCAGCAAACTGGTATAAAACCTGACAGGACTGAATGTAATTAATAACGTCTTTGTGCTTGTAGAAATACATGATGAACTGCTTTTTCTGTAGCATTGTAAATTTTTGTTGTGTTGTCTCCTAATACGTTTTCTGCCAGGTGAAAGGGAGATAGCACAGGGTAGAGAAATCCAAGGTCCAGGAACAATGAACAAGAAGACATCAGCGAGGCTATAGGATTAACAGTTGATCTCAGAGTTAGAGGCTAGAACCAGAGTTATGTGGTTTACAAGGGAAGTAAAGATGCCAAACTATCAACTGGCACCACAGGTTAAGCTGTCACTGTGCCACCAGTAAACACACCTGCTTGCTTTAATGAAGCTGCAGGTAGATTAAAAAAAGATGATAGGATGGTAAGGGCTCCTGGATAACATCGTCATGTGATAGGTCTCCATCAAAGCTCTGATCTCCAAATCTTTGGTCCTTCAAGGGACAGGCTAGGCCAGCCTCTTG